AGTTGTCAGGGATTTCATTTTACTGGGATCCACAATCAATGTCTATGGAAGCAGCAGTCAAGCCATTTCCATGGCCCAGGGACAGCCCAGGACACCCCAGGGTGGGGAGTATTTTGACTTCTTCAAACTCTACTCTTCACTCTGTGTTCCTGCATGAAAAGCACTAAACCATCCATTTTTGGAGGGTTTAGGGTTTTCTCTGTGCCACCAATCCTGTTAACCAAAACCCAAACCCACTGCCAACAAGTCGATTCCGACTCATAGCGACCCCTATAGGATTTCCAAGCTAAGTTTTACAGAAATAGATTGCCTCATCTTCCTCCCATGGAGCAGCTGATGGGTTTGAACCTCCAACCTTCTGGTTAGCAGCCAAATGCCTTACCCATTACGAGAGGATTCTATTATTACCCTCTATTTTACAGAGAAAGGAACTAGAGCCTAGAGACGTGATTTGCCCAAGGCCACAGAGCCAGGAGCTCCGATCTGTATTTTTCAGTTTTTAATTTTTGCAAGAATCAGTTTGCCTTTCTTTCTCTCTCAACTCAAATTCCTTTATTTCAAGTGAAAAAATAAAAGCCGACATGTGCAATACCCTCTTCAAAGCCCAACTGGCAGAGAGAGGAGGATTCCAAATCCCCATTCCCCCAAGGCTGGGACGGAGCCTGGATGCTTTGTTCTGTGGAGGAGTTTTATCCCGGGATAGCTGCCCGGGAAGCCGACCACACAACCCTGCAATTAGTGGTACAATCGCGATAGCAGCGTTTGGGTGTTTTTTCTTTTACAGGGTGGGCACTGAGCCGCCCCCCTTTCAGCTTCCCAGAGCAGCATGTGCAAACGATTAAGCTGGCTTGTTTTCTCTAGAGTGCTCGGAGGAAGTGACACTGACATCCTTGTGGTCCACAGGCAGGGCCAGCGCCTCCGTGGGAATGGGGCCCTTGGCTTTTCTGAAGCTGGCGTTCTAGGGTACTTACTGCTTGCCAGGCCTCCAGCCCAAAGCCCCCTTCCCAGCATGACTCCCAACTCCCTAGCAGGCAGCCTCTCCCTGGCGGGTCTTCATGGACTCTCCCTTTGGACTGAAAAATGAAAAGTGTGTGGCCTGCACCCTCATCCGAGCTCTGCGAGACTGGCGGGTGCGCTGGCAGGCCTGGGCCACGCTCTGAGTGTAAGGCTGCTGGAGAGGAAGGAGGCTGTTCTTCCCTGCTGCCCATGTGGGTACTGCTCTGGGCCCCCATTGGCTGGTCCCAATGGTGCAAATCCCCTAGGGGTGAGGGGAAGCAAGCTCCAAGGCAGGGAGGACCCTCAAGTCAGAATGACCCACCAGTGCTTGCCTGGGTAGAGGGACAGGCCAACACCTTCCACAGACTTCCCCTGGGCAGGTACTATGACCAGGGGCTCTTCCTCCTAGGCATACCTTCATGCCTAAACCAAAAACCAGCCCTGTAGCCTTCCCGTTTTTTCCAGCCCATTATCTAGTCAGTCACCCACTCTTGCTGCCTCCCGGACATCCCTTAAGTCCACCTACTTCTGTCCCATCTGGTCCAGGAGCTGCCTCCTCCTACTTGAACATCTGTCCCGGCCTCCACATGGGTCTCACTGCTTCTTTTCTTAGCCCTATGGTCCCTCCTCCACCCAGAGGCCAGGAGTCTTGTGGCTCTACCAAGTCCAACACTTTCATAGTTTCCCACAGCCCTTGAAATGCTGTTCAAACTTCTAGCCCTGGCCAACCAGCCCGGCTTGAGCCAGGTCTGACTTCTCTCCACTTTCATCCTGTACCAGGAGATCCAGCCCAACGTTCCCATCACCCAGTGAGGCAAGTTCTGTCCTACCCTCAGGCCTTCACATGTGCTGTCCCCTTAGTTGGAAGCACTGTTCTTCTTCCCCTCCCCCTTATCTGGCTAACTCACCATTTTTCCAGGCATACCTCTTCCAGGAAGCCTACCCAGATGCCTTAGACTAGATTCAGAGCTTCCTGTATGTGCTCCTCCATCCCCTACCCCACTCCTTGTAGCCTTAGTCATGTGGTATCATAATTATTCACTTAGTATTTTGCTTTCCTGTAAGATGGTTAGCCAGGGACCCATGACTGTTCTCTGCTCTCTCTCCAAGAGCTCAGGCCCACGGCAAGTGTTTCGTAATTTTTGTTCCATGAATGAGTAGCAAATGGAGGCCCAGGAAGCACTTACCCAAGACAGAGGCCAAACCCACTCTAGCTGCCCACCTAGTCCTGACCACAGGGCTCTCCCTTCCTCTGGCCTGGCCCTCATCATCAGATCAGCCTGAGGGAGCTCAAGACATCAGCTGCATGTCCTCCCCTCCCACCTGTAGTCTGAGTCTGTGCCTCCTTACCTCGCCATCAGTACCCCATGCTCCCCTGCCGACCAGAGTCCCTGCTGCCAGGAGGAAACTCGAGGCTCCAAGCACCTCAGGAAGTCACACACATCTCAGTGGTCACCCTTTCCAGGTATGTGTACACTTCTGAAGAAGGTAATGCTTAACCCACAAGAAAGGTGTTTAATGGTGGAATTTCAGGTGTAGTACTGGAAGAATGGGAGCTCTGGTGGTGTAGTGCCTAAGGCATTGGACTGCTAACCAGAAGGCTGGTGGTTCAAACCCACTAGCCACTCCTCAGAAGGAAGACTGGGCAATTTTCTTCCATAGAAGTACTGCCTCGGAAACCCAAGGAGGGGTTGGTATGAGTTGGAATCAACTCAGTGGCAGTGAGTTTGGTTTTACTGGAAGAATATTTAGGGATATACTGGGGAGGATGGAAGAGGGGATCCCTTTACCCATAGGTTATCATTCCCATACCTTTTGTTAGGGGTTGAATTGTGTCCCCTAAAAGACTTGTTGAAGTCTCAACCCTCCGTTCTTGTGAACATGACTTTGTTTGGAAATAGGGTCCCTGAGGATGTTGTTAGTTAACATGAGGTCACGGTGGAGTACAGTAAGTCCTAATCCAATATGCCCAGTGTCCTTATCAAAAGAGGAAAGGAGACACAGGGAAACGGCCACATGAAGATGAAGGCAGAAACGGGTCACGCTGCCACAAGCCAAGGAATGCCTGGGCCTACCAGAAGCTGGACGAGAAGAAAGGATCTTCCCCTAGAGACTTCGGAGAGCCTGGCCCTGCCAACACCCTTCATTCAGACTTGTGGCTTCCAGACTGTGAGAATAAATTTGTTATTTTAAGGCACCCAGTTTGTGTGTTTTGTTATAGCAGCCGCAGGAAACTAATACACCTTCTAAAACACAAACGGGACTGTCTCTCGTGTAGGCAATCTACTTCTGTAGAGATACCGCCTCGGAATTAACTCAACGAAAGTGAGTTTGGTTTGGCTTTTGGTTCTGAGCCATTTGAGGCCACCTAGAAACTGTTAGCCACTCCTCAGAAGGAAGGTTGGGCAATCTACTTCTGTAGTGATACTGCCTCAGAAACCCAAGGAGGGGTAACTTTGAGTCAGGTCTGACTCGATGGCACATAACAACAACAACAGAAGCTATCAGGAGCTCTGGTGGCATAGTGCCTAAGGCATTTGACTGCTAACCAGAAGGCTGATGGTTCAAATCCACTAGCCACTCCTCAGAAGGAAGGTTGGGCAATCTACCTCTGTAGTGATACTGCCTCAGAAACCTAAGGAGGGGTCGCTATGAGTTAGATTCGACTAGCGGCCGTGGGTTTGGTTTTTATTTTAGAAGCTGTAGCCTGTGGCTGGAAACTCTGGCATTTCTAGAGTATTTGATGTGGTATGGGCAGGGCAGCATATGAGAAAATCGGCCCATTCCATTGACACTATCGAGGTATGACTGTTATGCCACCTGCCCCACCACCCTCAGGCCCCTGGTTTTAACCAGTCTGAGAGGGCTGATCATCTTTGTGCCCCCAGGGTTGAGGTATCGCTGCTAACTTTCCTGGCAGGTGTGCCCATCAGAAAGGGTGGCATGGGGCCAGGTGGAAGGGACGGGCTTCAGACCACTCCCAATCTCCCCTCTACCCAGCTTTCTACAGATCCCCCATAGCCACATCATTGGTATCACTGGCTAGTGGCAACACCCTCTTGCAGCACACGTGTCCTCTGTCACTCCCAGTGACTGAGTACTAATGGGTAAGTTGGGGGACTTGGAAGAAGGCCTTCCTGGTGGCCTCAGCCATCAGGGACCATTTCTCTTTCCTGTGAGCCTGGCTGGGCCCGACACTCCAAGTCCCCTTTTCCTGGGTCATTTGTCCAGGCTCCTCCATGATCAAATGCCCAGAGGGATCCCACATCTTCTGTGCACCAGAAGCAAGGGATTTCACTCCAGCATCTGCCCTGGCCACCGTGCTGCCCTCTCATGGGGCAGAGAGGGGAGGGGTCTTTCTCCAAGTCGTGCAGCAAAGGAGAAGCAGGGAGGGGCCAGCGTCCTCCGAGAACCAGGGTAAGGTGCTTTCTTCCCACCTCACTTCCAACCCTCCCCCGGGGCTCTCCAGTTTTCACTCAGAAGAAAAGCAGGCATGTCTGAGCCAGGCCCAGTGCAGCCCCATTGTGGGCCACGGAAGGGCTCCTAGAAAGCCGTCCCGTCCCCCCACCCCCCAGCCCAGCTCCCACTTCCCCCATCTCAGTAGCCAGAACTGGTTTGCATACCTGCACCCTTATGGCGCTTACCTGCCCTCCCACAGCCTTTGGGAATTTAAAAACTCGTTTTATTTCTTAAAGACAAAAGCTTTTTGGTTTTAATACACAAAGTAAGTAAGGTCCTTGGCAAGTTCCTGTTCCACCTTGTGGCCCAACCCCTCCAACAGTCACGGGCCACAGTCTCGGCCAATTGTGGATGAAAGAGCTGAGCCGGGCTCCAGGCGCCTCAGCAGCCGCTCAGGGTCAGGAGTCCAGGCTGGAGAGAGGGGCCAGGACAGCCCAAAGAGCCTGTCCCAGGGACAGGGGACAGAAGGAGGTCACGTTCCTGTGTGTCTGCCCTCTCTTTGGTTGTTGGACGAAAGAGGCGGCTGGGTCCCGGTGGGCCGGCCGTCAGTTCACCGTGGGCACCTGGCTGTGGTGCAGACTGAACTCCTTCGCCTTGAGACGGAGGCTGGCGATGCTGTTGGCCATGTTGACCCCCGGGGTCGTGGGGCCCGAGCCTCCAGGGCTGTAGGGCGGCACCGTGCTGGGGGCGACAGGGAAGGACACGTTGGTGTGGCTGCCATGCTGACCAGAGCTGACCCCAGCCTCTGGTCCTCCTGCCTCCCCTCCTCAGCTCGGCACTCCTGGGAAGCCTTTACCCGGGGGAGGGTGGGCTGCGGCTGCAGGGCGTGGGCAGGAGTCAGAAGCACCCAGGGTCGGTACTGGGACCACAGAGCCTCCCCTGTTTATGGGGTGTCATTCCTCACTGGACCATGAACTTGCGGAGAGAGCAGGGACTGGGCCCTGCATACCCTGTATATGCACTGGGCCTGGCACGTGGGGGGGTGGATGGAGCCTGAACGCATCTGCACTTCAATGTCCCTTGGTCATTCACCAGCTCCCAGATAAAGACAGGGCAGAGAGAGGAGGCAGGAGAGCTGTGAGGCTAAGGTGGGCATTGCCTACGGCTCAGATCCATGAGACAACCCACTGGTTCCCTGCTTCCCACAAGACCACAGCTCCAATGCTGTCATTCACACAGACTAAGGTGAATGGCGCCCCCTGGAGTTGTGGGTATGGTGCAGCTACCTGACCCCCAGAGCATCTCTTCCCTTTTCCTGCCCTGCCACCTTGGAGCCTTTTCCCAGCTCTGACCTGGTCAAGAACTGCCCCAGAACCTGGCTCTGGGCCCCACACCCCAGGCAGGCCGACAGGAAGGAGAAGCTTTCCAGTCACAGTGTGTCGTCTGGAAGGGTTACACAGGGTGCTAGGGCTCCTGTACCAGCCTAGAAATCTTCCTGACGGTTTTCACTTCCCTCGGTGATGCCTGTGCTTCACTGCCCCTCCACAGTTGATGCACACGTTCACACATGCATGCACACTCACATGCACATGCATTCACACACTCACATGCACACACATGAGCATGCATGCACACCTGTACACACATTCACACATACACAAAACATACACACACACTCATGCATTTACACACACACTACCCAGTGGACCCCGGATCCAAGAAGCACCTGGACACAATTCTTTTCAGATTTTCAAAGGAGTCTGGACCCTAAATGCCCCCTGGAGTCCCGTGGGTGCTCCATCCCAACCTGAAGGGGTTCCTACTCTCACCTGTAGGGAGACGAGGCTGTCCAGGAGAGATACTCTGGACTCAGGGCGGTGGGCCGGGGAGCCACAGGCTGCTCAATGGCGGCCTCCTGGCTGTAGGATTTGAGGAGCGAGGCGGAGCGGTTGGCCAGCATGGCTCGTTCATTCCGGCGGAATTTGGCGCGACGGTTCTGGAACCAGACCTAGGATAGGAGAGTGTGAGGAGCAGGGTGCAGCGGGCTGAGGAGGGGACCATCCCCCCCAGGGGACCCAGGACTCTAGAGTCCTTTTGGACCTGGGTGTGTGGCTGCTCTGCCACCCTCCCTGGCTGGCAGCTTCTCCTCTCTGAACCTGTTTCCTCACCTGTAAAATGGAGATGATAAACGATACTGGCTGCTGGGTAAGGATGGGCTGAAGAACCAGCCAACGAATGAACGGATGGATACTCTGCCCTTGTGAGGCTGTAAGGAGAGGCTGGGTGCTATGCACACAGCCCATGGCTGGCAGAGTAAGCATTCAACACTTTGAAACTGCCTGAGCTCTGGTGGCATAGTGCCTAAGGCAGTTGACTGCTAACCAGAAGCATGGTGGTTCAAACCCACCAGCCACTCCTTGGAAGAAAGACTGGGCAGTCTACTTCCGTAGTGATACCGCCTCAGAGTCACTATGCGTCAGCTAGACCGCTGCGAGTTTGGTTTTGGTTTTACTTATCAAAAGCCTTTATGCCAGGCTGTTCTGAGCACTTTACAAAAATATTAACTCCTTTAATTCTCTTAAGAGCCCTATAAAATAGACCCACATACTTCTTATTTTACGGTATCGGTGGGGAATAAGGCACAGAGACGTTAATATATTGCCCTAGGTAACACAGCCAGCCAGCAGTTTGTCTGGGATTTGAATTCCTCCTGTCCCGGCCTCAGAAGCTCCTGCTTCACCCCACCACAGCAATTCCGTAACTCCCACGGGTGGCCCAGGGAGGGGCACAGACAACCTGTGAGGCGCCCTGGCCGCGCTCACCTGGACCCGCGCCTCGCTGAGGTTGACTCGCCGGGCGAGCTCCTCGCGCACGAAGGCGTCGGGGTAGTGCGTGCGCTCGAACACGCGCTCCAGTGCCTGCAGCTGGCTGCTGTTGAACGTGGTACGATTTCGTCGCTGCTTCTTCTTCCGCTTGGCGGCGCCGCCGCGCCCTGGGCTTGGACACTCACCTGCGGAGGCATCCGGAGGGTTAGCTGGGCGGTGGCCCGGGCTCGGTGCCCACAGCGCCCCCAGCGGCCAGGCCGACCCTACGTCCTGAGTTGCAGATGTGGCCAGGATTCGACTACCAGCTCAGCCACTTTATTTGTATCTCCCGCTGCAGATGGTCCAGGACATTAATTCACCTTTTCATTCATTCGTTCGCTCCTTCATTCATTCACTCATTCTTCTACATTTATTTCCTGAGCACCTACTATGGTAGACAGACACAGTGCTGGGCCGCGAGTATATAACAGTGAACAAAAGCAGCTGCCCCTCTACCTCAGGGAGCCCACAATCTGACCAAAGGAAGATGGTGTCCAGGCAAGAGCCCAGGGGACAGGGCTTGCTGTCATGAGGGACAAGTGCCCAGGGAGGGCCCAGAAGATACCTGAGTGTCCTCAGCACCTGGTCCAGGGTTCTGGGGAATGGTAAATCCTCCATCCAGATTTGTTGTTGAATAATATAATAAAGAGCAATAAGAACCACGGTTCTGAGGGCCCACTATGCACAGGATCATTGGAAGCTCATAGGAACCCTAAAGACAGGTACTACGATCCTTACCACTCCCCATTTACAGGGGCAAAGGGGGTCTCAGAGAGGCCAAGGTCTCCCGTCCATGTTCAAGTGCCTAGTACGTAACTGGTGGTGAGATTTGAACCCACCAGCCTGGCACCAGAGTCTTGATTCTATTCACCAAACCAAACTGAGAGCAGCCTTCCAGAGGGCCCTCACCCTTGCAAACAGGTTTCTCTCAGTATCCTAAACACCCACTATGTGCCAGGGGCTGTGCTGGGTGCTGGTGAGGGGATGAACCAAACAGTGTGGCAGGACCCAGAATCAAACATCCTAGTGCTATGGAGTAAGGGCTATGTCAGGGTGTGGGCCAGGGGCATAAGGGGCTCACCTCTGGTGAGCAATGGGGAAATGGTCAGAGGAAGCCCCTCAGGAGAAGTAGAGCTTATGCTGGGTTTTGAAGGATGTATGAGTTCTCCACTCAGACCAGAAGGATGGAGGGAAGGCATCCAGGTAGGAGGAAGAGTATAAGCAAAGTCCAAGAGGGTGAGGTGGGAAGTACTAGGGGGTGAATTCCGCAGGGGAGCTAACCAGGGGTCTGGGCCACCTCTGGTGGTGATTTGGCAGCTTGGGTAACAATGACCCAGTGTGATGCTGGAGAAGACATGGGGATCAGTGACTTGTTGGTTACTTACCTTGGGGGTCCAGGTAAGGGTTCTCAGCTGCTGTTTCCCACATTTAAATCTTACGCAGAACCACTGACCCTCCATTGCCCCTTCCTCCAGAGAGCCCTCCGTGACTACCTGAGTCCACATGGAACCCCTTCTCTCCTAAGCGCTTAGAACCAACCCCCTCCAATTGAATACTTCCATGTGCCTCTGATTTTCTTCTTTAAAAAAAATACCACAATAATATCACTGCTTGTCACACTAACAGACTGAAAACACAGAAGCCTATAAGCAAAATACCTTCTACCCCTGGCCCCAGAGGGGACAGACTGTTCTAGCTTGAGTGGCCCTTTATACTTTTTTACAAGAGTATAAACATACATTAAAAATTTATAAGTATGCTATACACACTGGTACTTCAACTTGCCTGTTTTTATTTAATAATATGTTGGACACCTTGCTATGTCAGTATAGAGAACTGAATCCTCTTTATTGGCTGCCTAGATGAACAATTAAAAAAAAAAAAAAACCAATCCAGTTTGTCCAGCTGATAGATATTTGGATTTTCTTCCCATAATGGACTTTCCCTCTTGTTCTCTTCCTCTACCTGTAGAACCACATTTTTAAAATCAATTTTCACTTTATTCTGCCAGCACTTTTTTTGCAAATATAGTAAAATATTTTCTCCCCTTCTTTGTCCAAACGTAGCATACCAGCTACCACTCTGCATGTCATTCCCCATGTAACATTATAGCCCAGGCTCCCTTCATAACAATGCACAGGAACTGTCTGGGTTCCTTTCCACCACTCCACAGTACTCTGTTATGTGATCGTGCCATCATTTATTCATCCAGAGCCTTATTGATGGGCATTTGGCATTTCCCAATCTTTTGCAATGAAAAGAATGCCACAATGAATGACCTCGTGCAAAGTGATTTTCTATTTTTGTCACTGCATCTTTGGGGCAGATTCCTAGGAGTAAATGGCCACGGGCTTGTCCCATGTTGCGTCCCTCTCAGCAGTATATGGGAAGGCCTGCTTTGCCCATGGTTTGACCAAGAGGGCATATTGAGCCTATTGTCAAGTTTTATCCATTTCAGTATTTTTATTTCCCCACTTACACATTCCCTGAATAATGCATATTCTTCACACATTATTGGGCATTTGGTCAGCTATGACTGATCAGCTAGAACATCCCAAGCCTAGTGACGCCTAACAGTCCATTCCTGCTTTTAAGTAACTCCCAGGTCAGTCGGGTTCACTGATTCTTTAGCAACCAGCTGATTTGCATTAAGGCCATATTGCTCCACGAGAGTGAAAATGATTGTGCGGGTGCTGAGGAGGAGGGAGTCAGACAGGAACCAGGAAGGATGTTCTGGAAAAGATGACTCTGAAGCTAGGTTGAGATCAGTGTTTGTTAATGGAGGGCCATTTTGGCCAAGTCTGGAGACATTTTTGATGTCATTACCTGGTGTAGCAGACGTGCTGCTGAATCTAGCGTGAAGAGGTCAGGGATGCCGGTAAACATCCTACAACACACAGCACGGCCCCCCGACATCTAAGAATTGTTGTTGTTGTTATGTGCGACCTGACTCATAGCGAGCCCTCCTTGGGTTTCCGAGGCAGTATCACTACGGAAGTAGATTGCCCCATCTTCCTTCCGAGGAGTGGCTGGTGGGTTTGAACCACCAGCCTTCTGGTGAGCAGTCAAGTGCCTTAGGCACTAGACTACCAGAGTTCCCATCTAAGAATTACCTGGTCCAAAATGTTAATAGTGCCGAGGTTGAGTTTAAAGGGATAACGAGGAGTTTATGCTGTTTCCCTTTTGGGAAATACAAATGCTTGAGACCAATGCGGGGGAGGGGAGGGCACTGGGGCAGGGGTATGGCGTGGCCCCGGGTGAGCGGCTCCGGTTGCCTGGACTAGCTTCACTCTTCACTCCTCACTTCTTTCCTCCAAGAAAAGGCAGATGATGGATGAGAGTGTCTCTGGTGCCTGGGAATGTCTCTTCCCCCACCCCCCACACCCCATGAGCGAGAAGAAACCTTAAACCGAAACAACAAGGGCCCTCGTGCTGAAAGGTGGTGGTGCTCAGTATCCCGGGAAGCGGGGACAGAGGCCTCTGGAAGGTCAGCTGTCATAGAGCAGTCTCCCCTGCAGGCGATGCTGCTTGGGCACACGCCCAAGGCAGGAGGCATTTCAGCCAAAAAAGGAGAATTTTGGGGGGAATTTTCTGAGCAGTTGAAACCGTCTAAATGAAAACCACTTGCTCGTGCACTGGCACGTGGGCACTGGAATGAAGGCCTCCACTCTCGCATCGGTTAAGCTGTGTGGGGACTTGGAGGTGCAATCCTCATGCAAAGACATTTACTACACCCAGCTGACACCAGATGGTCTCCACAGTGGGTCTCGAGTCAGCCCTCTCCTGGGATCAACCTGAAGGCAGCTAAGATGGGAATCGCTCCACAAACGTTGGTTTGTGCCAAGCACTCCACACACTTCTACCTACTGAACTCCTATGTTACCCCATTTTACACACAGGGAAACTGCGGTTCCAAGAGTCATGCACTGGGACTTTGAATCTATGTGGGCCCGAAGGCTCAGGCAGCCAAGATGAGGAGTGTCCTCCCTCATCCACCTTGCTCCTAAGGACAATGACATAGAAGGCCGCGACGGTCTCAGTGGCAACTCTGAGGCACCACGGGGAGGGATCTCCATCTTGAAGTCATTTCACTGATGCAGAAATATCACTCATTCTCCAGGCCAGTCTGGTGGAAGTGTACCCCTGCACCTCTTTGTTCTAAAGGAGGACTTCACCCCTGGGAGCTGTGAGGGATAGCGGCTTAGCCCCACGTCACAGCTAGTTAGTAAAGGAAAGACCAACACCCAGGCCACCACAGTGCGAGGCTGCAGTGCAGCTGGTCTTGGGTGATGTTTCCTCCTCGTTCTTGGATTTGGCTGGTCCTGTTTTCTGCTGCCATGGGGGGCGGGGGGTGCAGAGCATTTGCTCATACTTTAGCTCCTGGGTGGGGCTTACAAGGCTTACAGACAGGCCCTTCCACACCAGGCCACCCAATCTCCCCTAGTCCCTCTGGCCACAGCTCCGACCCAGCACAATTATCTTCCTCCTCTTCTCTCTCCTCCTCTTCCCCCAGCTGACTTCCATACACTGACCATGGGATTTGGAGTCTTTCAGATCTGGGTCCGCATGAGTTTTACCGTTTCCTCCCTGTGTAGTCCTCACACGGCCCTTCACCGCCCGAGCACCAGTTCCCTCACCTGTCAATGAGGATAATGACGATGGCCGCCTCACAAGGCTGCTGTGTGGGGCTGAGTTCAGCTTACTGCCCCGAGCACGATCACTGCTCGACAGATGTTCATCCCAGTCAAAATCCATTCCGCAGCAACTAACAGCAGCAGCAACTCCTTGCCCTTATTGCTTTGTAAGCCTCATACTTGAAGACAAACACCTTTATGCCAGACCTTTGGTCCCCTCCTCACAGCCCACAGTGGAAAGATGGGTCAGCAGTCCCAGCCGAGGGCAAGGAGGATTGAGGCAGAGTCTTAAAGCCAGCTCAGGACTTGAACCTACGGCTCTGGACTGAGACAGGACCCTTGCACTATGTGCCACTTCAGAGTGGATTTGCAGAGTATTTGTTACTGTAAATTGCTGAATCGCCTCCTGAGAGATGGATTGTGATGGGTGTGTGGATTCCCCTTGCCTGGGTTTAAAGCATTTAGAAAATAAATAAATACTCTCTAAGCCCCAGGCCCTTGGCATTCAGTCT